GTATCAGAGACATTGTAGAACATACTTTTTTAAAAAAGAGTAACGAATGGAGTTTCTTGCTCGTTCTTCCCATTCGAATCTACGTTTTGGAATGAGCACCTAGCTTCACCTAATTTCACTGACGGACTGACTGACAGACTATTATTTATTTTGTATTTGTTGACGTTTTAAAAACCAAACTATGGTTTAATTGAAATAAATAGTTTGACTTTGACTTTGACTTTGACTTCTGTGGACATGAGGCGCGCGTTGTCGCCTTATAATATGTCCGGCAAAATCGGAATGCTTCGCTTAATATGTCGCCGATACATGTCGTAAAACATTTGCCCCCTAGTGAATATTTGGCTTAATACCAAGTGCCATATTTGTTTTGTTACAATTTTTTTGTTGTGTTTATTTATTTTCTTTTATACGCTATTATGTTTTCGTACATACGTATGTTTCCTAACTCTTTTTATTAGTACTTTTTGGGTAGATATTTAAACATATTCATATAATATATTCATTGTCATATACAATTGGTAGATATACAATTACATATTCATCCTAGAACGAGAATGAGTTCAACAGATTTAGATTAATAATTTATTTATTTTAATGAAACTAATAACATGACAGGCCAAAAGAAACGAAATCGGCGAAGAACGAAGGTTCGCAGAAAGAGGTAATACCAGGCTTCTATAGTAACATAATACAGAAAAAAAGTATCACAAGATCACGCTACTTATTGGCACATTACGGCACTTAATGCCACTGCACAATTGTTTTTTAAATTCCAGTAGTACGTTGCCTAACCCAGGAATCGAACCCGAGACCTCTTGCCCGACAGTCACACTTGCGACCAACGTACTACACAATATAATTTAAAAAAAGCATCAACTACTTTCTTACAAATACTAAATGCTCACTGCCTCGTTGTTCGAGTACCCGCCAATAACCAGCCAATAATTTTCTGATACTATAGTGATAGTATATACCTATATCTCCAAAAATACAGTCACAAACAATACAAAACCTGATAATACTATTGGAAGATCTTCTCTGAAAGTAGGAAATGAGTATTTATTGTGTTCACATCCACATTATTCCTTTTGCTATATTAGACTTCCCAAGTTTGATCTGTTCCATCACTCTTCATTCTAAAGTGAACCTTAAGATATAATATTCAAGAGCGGGTTTTGGATGTTCAGTATTTTATGTCCTATGATGAGTTGGTACCAGTTTCGATGATTGAAATCGATTATTTTTAGAGCTCCTTGATTGATTCGACGACAACGATATCGAGAAACGTATCAAACTCTAATCTTGATATGTTAGAAATTGATTTTGGCAGATGTGTTATCATTTTATGTTTGTGTATGATCGATTTAGTTTCCGATGGGTAGAAGACTTATGATAATTCCGATTTTCGAACGTTCTGTTCGACATTGGCACGAGTTTTCGAAAATTTCTCATTTAAGAATAGGGATGATGACAGGGTATGAAAAGTACCTATAATCTAATTGGTCCGTCAGTTGGGTAATGAACAAATATTTGACACGTATTTTTTATTTTGTCGTACAAGAAAGCAATACTTAGATAAATCGAATCAAAGTTTAGGAGTGGGGGGTAGTTACGTCAATTTAGAGTATAAATCGTACTCATAGGTAACGTCATGCGATATTTTAAATCAATATATCGTCTATTCATTTTCGTAAGAAAATAAAAAATACGTGTCTAATGTTTTTAAATGTTCTACCATATGGACATCAAAATAAAAATTAGTCATCTTCCTATCATATAGGCTACGGTTATTGACTTACCGTTACTCACACTACAAAGGACTTATAAAATAACTGGTTGGTGTTAAGTAATTCTTTTTATAATTAAAATGAAACTCGATATAAATTTTCAAATTTTTATTACAATCCAGGATTAAATCAATTAATCTGTTGCAAGTCTAATATCCCCTTTAAATATGGGCTCAAATTATTTCAAAGGGATATACAATTGTGAAAACAATCACTCTAACGACTGAATAAACTGCTTAACTTTAGTTCTACTAAATTAAATATATATTTATGTATGAACAGTTAAAGATATATTAATTTACAAGTACTTATATACAAACGGACCAAGATATGTATGTACAGTATTAAGATTACATAATTAATTTGAAAGTATTCGTTGGTTATCAATGCTCGTCCAAATTCGGTCAACTCACAAAACATATTTACACACATTTAGAAATCTAAAAGTGCTATGCACTATCCAAAGTTTAAATATATACACGATACTACTCTACAATATTTGAAAGATAATATAGATACTATATATGTAATATCGACTGTATACAATAAATGCACACTGAGATTCATAATCAATATTAATACTATCATTATATTCAAATTTCCATTATGTTAATTCATCCTAATAATCTACTTACGAATGAGTTAAAACATTTGAGCAAATCAGCATCGTTCAGTATAAGCATAAAACTCTACACAATATTTACTGTCTTTGGCACAATCACGGTTTCATACAGAGTAACTTCTTGAATGCTCTCCTAAAGTCCATGTTAAAAATGGTGTATATTAAAGGGTTGAGTGCAGAATTGCAGTAGCCAAGCCAAGTTATGAAATTGATAAACTTGTTGGACAAACAGCAACTCGCACAGAAGGGAATAACAAGGTATATGACGAAGAAGGGTAACCAACACACGACGAATACGCCCATTATAATCCCAAGGGTTCTGGCGGCTCGACGCTCACGTGTCAAGGAAATCCTTTGCTTTTCTTCAATGAATTGATAAACAGCACTTTGCTGGTTAGGCTTCGGCCGCTTGTGACTTTTCACTGGCGCAGGCTCAGTAACTTCAATCAAATCATCTTCGTGAGTTTCTTTCGAGTTACTCTCTGATGATGTGTTTCTATTTTCTAAATTATCACCCATATCAGTTACCGAATTGTCATTGGAGAGAATCGGTATTATCAGTTTGTTTTGTGATTTATCATCCTTACTCCAATATCGTCGCTTTGGTTTTTTCTTTGGTGTCAGTTTTCTGGTTCTCTTCTTTTTCTCATTGTCTGATACCAACCGTGTCACGCCTTGGTGCTCATTGTGATTGGCTTCTGAGCTAACAGAATCTTGATCATTGTTATCGTTATCTTTATTATTGTATCTGTTCTGACCGCTAGAAATAGTGCTGATCTTAGTCGCTTTAGCACGATCTCTGAGTCTCTTTTTAGTTGCCAAATATATTTCAAAATAAACTACAGTCATTATAACTAGCGGTATGTAGAAGGACCCAGATGAAGAGAAGATAACAAAGCCTGGTTGGGAAGTTAAACGACAAGGCGTATCAGGTTCAAAGACGTCGGGCCAGTCATTCCACCCTAGGAGCGGTGGAGAACTAATAACTAACGAAAGTACCCAGACTACTCCAATCATTAACATCACTCTTTCTAAAGTTCTCTTTTGTGCGTAATTTATAGGATCAGTTATCGCCCAGTACCTGTCTAATGCAATTGCACATAAATTTAAAATGGACGAAGTACAGCACATTATGTCGCATGTTAACCACATTTTGCATACGTAAATCCCAAATACCCATTGTCCTAGAATGGAGTATGCCACATTTAGTGGCAATACTAATATTGCTACTGTCAAATCCGCCACGGCAAGTGATACTATGAAGAAGTTCTGGACGATCCTAAGGGGTTTGTATGTAAACACACTCAAGATCACCAGAATGTTTCCAACTATCGTTGAGATTATTATTAGCGTTAGGACTATGGCTGTACAAATTGCCTCCCATTCTGGTACCGCAAGTGTTATACCGAAACTACTCGGATATTTAGGGTCATCTGCGACGGCACAGGCGTCTCTGTCATCCTCAATTATTTCATCAGTATAATTAAATAATGTGTAATTTGCGTTTACGTGTGTAGCTGTTTGCCCCATTTTGAAGAAGTTATGTAGTATTCTTTGGCTACATTTCACGTGGTACTGTTGGGAAAGACCGTGAGTCGCGAAAATCGTTCAAAGCATTTGGCAAGCATTCGTCGGTAATTCTTCTTGTGTGAGACGGGCGCGTTTCCTGTATTCATCCTTTCATACTCCAATTTTCTGTAACAATAAATAACCCTTTTAATGCGTAATGGAAATGTATTGGCGATTCTTTCTTATCGTAACGGGTAGGGTAAAGGGTACAGGGAGTAGTAAAACGTATAAATTACCTCCTGCTGGAAATCTTTACTAGGAAATCCCATTTGTGTGACTTGTTCATTTTTTGATGAGTAAACGAATCTGTAACAAAGAAAATATATATTAGAACCAGTCATGTATGAAAAATATCGCTTGTGGAAGTAACGTTTGGAACAACTATCGTGTTGCGTGATCTAGAGGAGGATTTATCTGACAAAATATGACTATTTGATGGCACGGAGGGCGATCAAAACATAACTCGAAAACCTTGATACCAGACCTACATGCAACGGATATTACTCGTACACAACTTTAGGTGTGTTATATTCATTCTTATGTCACTGAAGACAGAAATGTTATTGCAAAGTTTTTATAATACGAGTATAATTATCACCTTTGTCTATTCACTCGGAACTAATGTAATATTACATGTAAGTTTCATATTTTATGCATGTATGTAGAGGTAGATATGAAAATATGTGGAGAGTTACGAATTGGAAGCATCATGTTCTAGCTTATTCGAATATTGCAAGACGAACGGAATTCAATAACACTTTCATGAGCAGATAGGTTGGATGTCTCGCCTGTCCAATGCAGCCGGCGCTCGCCATACACTGAAATGATTTTCTTCTCTACGTATTACATTTTTTATTGCAAGGCAAAATTGGCAATAGCTAGCTTTTAATATAGTGTGAATAATTTCGGTGTCTGAAATTAAATACCAATTGGGAAACTCGGGGAATGTAATCGTTTCGATTAAAATAATGGTTCATTCTTTCATGCTGTGTTTACATCTAAAAAGTCTGTTAAGTTTTAATGAGTCTTCCTTGCTTTTGCAAAAAAATATCAAATTTTCGCAGTCAAATTTAAAATGTTAACCATTAGCACGAGATGGAAGCCGCCTAATCCGATTATTTTCCTTTTAAAAAATGCTAACAGGAAGAAATATCTAGTAATAAAATAAAAATAAAATTCCTATACGCTACTATTCTTTCCACAATGTTTATTAGAAAAATGTTTAACAAGCTTTATCCAGCTAACTATGCTATGCAAAACTAAGATTTTTTCTAATTTACGAGCACACTAATGCAAACTTGTGCACACGGCTACACATCGAGCTTTAGGTACATAACCAGTATAAACTGAACGTTAAATGTGCGGAAAGATGATACGACGCGATACCAGGATAAACTGGTTTTGTATAGTTTGATGAGTGGCCGTGTGTACGTATTTGCTTCTGTAACTAAAGCGGTAAGACCAATGATAATTTAATTCAAAATTAGAATCTACCTTTTTTCTTTTTCCTTTGTTAGTTTTTATTGTTACGACTTACACAAATAATGACGTATGTATCTTCAAATTACATTATTCCACTTCAAGTACTTGCATTTTACATTTTAATTGAATGCTTAATGACTAAATGTGGCAATTATGTGCAAATTTTACTCGAAAACATCAAACCATTTAGATTGTCTGTCTCTATCAGATGTAGTATCATTATGCTGTGTAATTAAGTAGTTTTATTTGTATTTCTTTTTGTAAATTTAGAACATTTTGTTTGAAGGAAAAAATAAGCTATAAATGCATAATATAATATACATATCCATATATATATATACAGATACAGATAAATATGTTTTGGGTATGAATATTAGTAACAATTTATCAAGTTGAGGTATTTCTGATAGCTTTTACTTAGACTTTAAGACTAGACGTTACTCGACCTAAGTGATACAATGACCTCACAGAAAACCGACGTGAAGCAACGCTTGCGTTGTGTTTTCTTGTGTGACTGAGGTTACCGGAGGCCCAATTAACACCGCCCCCCTCCCAATCTCCCCAATCCCTGAATGCCCAACAATCCTCAAATTCCTTATCTCTAAAAGGCCGGTAACGCACTTGTAACACCTCTGATTTCTTGAGTGTCCATGGGCAACGCCGATTGCTTACCATCAGGGGATCCGTCGACTCGATTACCGGCTTATTCCAAAAAAAAAAATTATAATAAATGGATAATATTAATGGTATTTTTTTTAAGGGGGGAAAATCATCGAATGACTGCTCCCGCCTGGGTGAGGCGGGAGGGGGTGTCAGACTCTTACTGACTAAAAAGCACCCCGTTCCTTCTCCTGCACGTCGAGCCGGAGCCCCGGTTACCCGTTAGGTTCTCCGCGACAATATTAATGGTATAAGATTCCATGTTAGATAATATAACTCGATTTACTTCATCATTTCATCAATAATTTGTAGGTAAATTTTAATTACGATAAGGAAGCTGTACGCCAATATCAGTAAACCGCAACACGTGGTCTATTGTTTGTGACGTCACGTCTTCTAACATCGGGCACTCAATGTAACATACCTACTGCGGTAATCATATCAATAGTGAAAGTTCAAGCATGTAATACTTTGTGTCTTTAATGTAATTATTGTTTATAACTAAATCTTCTTATCTCTATTGCAGGAACAATGTGAATTAAACTGTCAAACACCAAGCGGTCACCGGTGACCGCAACCTATTGTTCTATAATTGTGTCTACAAAACCGGTACTCGACGAGTTAATGAATCA